TCCCACGGCCACGGGGCACCGCGGCCACCCCAGCACCTGGGGACACGGCCCGAGGACGCTTCCCGACTCCCTTTCCCAACTCGCTCCGTATTAAACGGGCTCCACCAAGAGCGAGGCTGCAGCACCCGCATGGGGCACGGCCACAGGACACCCCAGTGACAGGACACGCAGAAACCAGACGCACGGGGGGAACCGAGTGGATTTGCTGGGAAAGGAGCAGGGGGGGGAACCTGGAATTTGGATCAGGACCAAATTAAGCTGTGATCTAAATACAGAAGAATCAGGAGCAGGAAAACGTCAACCCTTTGCCCCGCGCTGTCCCGTAGCAGCGGTTACAGACAGGGCTCGGTGGCTCCCGCTCTGCCGCGGCGCTGCATAAAGATTCTGCCCAGGCCTCGGCCGTCCTCGTGGACCGCGACGGGCCCCGGCAAGGCGGTTTAGCAGCATGAATCATCCTCTTATCAGATGCTGATAGATGAACAGAGCTGTGGGCTTTGCAACTCCATTCTGCATCTAAGAAGCAGCATCTTTCAAAGCCAGACGGATGTCACACCCTCCCGTGCATCAAAGGGAAGAGACGGAGCGGGAAAGGAGCAGCGCAAAAACCTCCCAACCCGGCACAGCTCCTGTGCCTCCTCGTGCACCCGGACAGCAGAAGAGCTCCACTCCACGCTCTGCTTTGATGCCACGCTGCTTACAATTGCTTTGCAAAACCCAATCTTTGGTGCAGATTCCAGGCTGGATATATCCTCTGAATGCAGTTGTTTCAAGCTCAAAGCACTTTCCTGGCTTGAAAAAGTGTCCTGGGTGATTACAAAAAATAGCACAGCCCATTTAGTCCTTCATGTCTGCTCAATAAAAGTCATTCCAGACCTGTTACACCTTTTATGCTGCAACATCTCCTGCTTCCCCACCTCCAACTGCTATTCAAAGTACTGGACCCTGATAGCTCCTTTCTCTCACTGTTTGATTTGCTTTTTTAAACCTTGTGTATTTGAACACAATCCCTAGAGTCAGTCCTTTGAAAAGTAATCTATAAAAAAGCAAAGCACTTTTTAAATGGCAGAACAAAACACTCATAAAAGTTCATAAATGGCTTGCTATTTAAATCTCATAAAAGCAAGCCAGTTAATTACTCCAGTTTGAACGTTTCCTGTAAATTGTGCACTGTACCCAAGGTCAGCAATAAAGGGAGAAGCTTTTTCCACAAATGCTACCAAAAAACCCATTGATTTCCTTGCATGCAAGATGTCTGGATGATTTTCCTGTAAAACAGTTGGCTTTAGCTGTGTAGCTGTTACAGTTTGAAAGTGAAACCTAGTCCTTGAATATATATCTATATATGAACGTGTATATGTATATATATAACGTACGTGTGTATATATAAAGCAGATCCTTTCTCTGTGTTTCCTTTTCCGTCCTTCTCCCACCGCAGGCTCGGAGCTGATGCCCAAGGCGCTGTCCACACGGATCATCGGTGGCATATGGTGGTTCTTCACCCTCATTATCATCTCGTCCTACACGGCCAACCTCGCCGCCTTCCTCACGGTGGAGAGGATGGAGTCCCCCATCGACTCGGCAGATGACTTGGCCAAGCAGACAAAAATAGAGTACGGAGCAGTGAAGGACGGAGCTACCATGACCTTCTTCAAGGTGAGCTCGAGCGCGGGCTCGGCGCCTCCGCGCAGGACACGGCGCCAGCGAGGCCGTGCCCGCCTTCCTACCGCAGCTTCCCTAGCTCCACGGCGCATCCGGAGCCCTTCCCGGCAGGAGCCACCTCTCCAGCTGCTTTGGCTTTGCACAGCACCGGGGACGGGGACAAACCCGAGCCCCAGCTCGAGCCGAGCCGCCGCGCGCGCCCCCCGGCCACCGCTTTGGGTTTGTCTTTGGTTTGGTTTTACAGGTGAAACCCCCTTGCTTTTCCTTCAGGTGTTTGCATTAACATAAGTGAGTTTTATTAAGCAGCTCCGTTCCAAGGGGAACAAACCAAACCCGCTGGATAACGCAGATTAGAAAAGCAGCTGGCGCCAACGAGGCGCTGAGATTACTCTTTGTTCACGCTGCTCTTCTCTCAGAGCTGCTGAGAAAAGGCAAGCCTTGCACACCGAGAGACTTTAGGTTTTTCCTTTTTCCCCATTGTTTCTATTCACTCTTTGGTCATTATCTGTATCCTTTGATATGGGGCTTGTCTGGCATTTGTTAGCACCGATAATTAAAATGAACGATCTTGTACTGCCACCAGGATTACAGTCCAGCGGATACACCAACTTGGAATTACAGCCCATATAAACTGGAGCTTAATTAGCAGAAATAATTTGAGGGGAAAAGTTACTTATGTTCCAATATAATGGAGAACAAACCTATCCAAGTAACTGGGAGAGAAAATGGCAGAGAAACCTGGAGGAGAAGAGACTGGGAGCAAGTGACTTCCCCCTGCATGCATGGAGCATCCAGGAAGGGCAGCGCCGAGGACACGGGTGTCAGGGCATCGAGGATGGCACCGGGGACACGGGCGTCAGGGCATTGAGGATGGCGAAGGGGACACAAGTGTCAGGACATCGAGGACGGCAGTGGGGACACAGACATCGGGGAGTGACTTATGTTCCAATATAATGGAGAACAAACCTATCCGAGTAACTGGGAGAGAAAATGGCAGAGAAACCTGGAGGAGAAGAGAATGGGAGCGAGTGACTTCCCCCTGCATGCATGGAGCATCTGGGAAAGGCAGCACTGGGGACACGGGCGTCAGGGCATCAAGGACGGTGCCAGGGACACGAGTGTCAGGGCATTGAGGATGGCGAAAGGGACACAAGTGTCAGGACATCGACGACGGCGATGGGGACACGGGCAGTGGGGATGGGGACAGCAGCTGGCAGCAGCCCCAGGAGCCAGGACGCGGTACCCGGTTCAAACCCTGCAGGAATCGACCCACAGCGCCGAGAGGCTTCGCACTCGCTATTGCCTCAAATATGAGGAGAAACCGAGGGATGTGAAAAGACCTTTGAAACCACAGCAGGGCTGTAAAAACACACGTTAAAAAAGGGCAGGAGAATGGAGGAATAGAAATGAGGGCGATTAATCTAAGGAACGACCGTGATGGCAAACACGAGGTTTGGAGGGGAATCTCAATCTAAAAATTGAATTTTGAA